TTACCAAATCTCCAAAATCCACGATTCTGTTCTTTAGCTTTGCCACCATCGTCATTATCCCATTGAAAATCGTCTTTGATCTTGTTCACATTTTGGTCTCGTTCGGCGTAGAGATAATACATCATCCGGTCGCATGGCAAGTTCAAGGAGACTGGTAACGGGTTCGTCTAGTTCAAGGGAGAGAGAGAGAAACAAAGAGGAAAGGAGTATAAGAAAAAATGAAACAAAAGAAAAGAAAAAATATCAAAATGATTGGATTTCTAAGGGAGAAGAGAGAGTCTCGCGTGAGCTCGATATACCGCGACCGCAGAACAGTCTGGCGCATATCTTTCGCGGACGATCTCATTGTTTCATGAGGTAAGGACACGGAAGCACGCGATCCTGGCTAATAATACTCACCGTCGGCCTAAACTCGGCTAAAGGGTGTCAGACTCGAGGCGACCAGGCAGTCGGCCAGCCCCAGCCCTCTCTCTATTTTCTTCTCCCTCTCATTACTCTTCCTAGCTTCGTCTCTTCTAGTCTGGTACATTATCATCATCCTGTTGTTTCGTTCTGACTAGTTTCTTAAGAATTTTCACTGGCACAATAAGTCTTAAACGTGAAGTTTTTATTGGAAGAACAGCAGAACGTCGTCTTTTTTTCTCGATTGTCTTGATAAGTTAAAGTGGACCAGAGTGCCAAAAATCTGATATAGCACACATCTCCACTTTCCTAATTTTTTTTTAATATCCTAACTTATTCGTTGTAATTAGCTGCTTAAACAAATGAAAGATATAGAGTATTATTCGTTATTGTATTTCCCTTATTCTTCATCTTCTGAGTCGTACAAAATTAACGTCTTCATTTCTGGTTCAGATTCATAGAGTGTTGGATGCTCCACGTAGGACCACTCCATTTTCTAGTGCGTTATTATTTTAACCTTTAGCATAACAAAATGGGGTTAAGAAAAGACTCTTTAAAGAATCACACGGTTTTATGAGACGTACATATCCGTATATATGCTATATAGGATAGTGTACTAAGAATAATATTACTTACAGAACTCTTCTTATAAATAAATTCTTGCATACAACGTTCAGCAGTTTTGTAATTCACATTCGTCTTTATTATAAGTAAAGCTATCGTGGTAATACAACGACACTATTCGATATGAAACCATAGAATCGCGATCATGCTGCCTGCTACTCAAATAGCTGAGGTTATTATGCGTCTCACGTCCACTCTACGTGTCGTACATGTGCTAGACAGAGAGAGAAAGATGGCTCGCAAAATGTCTCCTCTTTGGTGCGTGCACCTGCGAGATCGGTCAACGGATCGGCCAGAAGACTCGAGCCATAGATGTATGTACTGTGAAAAAGCGACGCGAGAATCGTTCTTCCTTTTGGAGCCTCGACGACCGAGTTGGCTAGATAGAATCATCGATTGGTTTTTTCTTCTTGCAGAAAGATAGGTTTCCGCGGGTTGGGCTAGGTTTAATTTGGTCGACGAGGATCTCTTCTTTCAGATGGTTTTTTTGAGTGGCTGAGTGGGAAAGGGAGGTTGTAGGATTGGTCTTCTGCCGGTAAAACTTCACCAGTGATCATGGATCAATATATTTTCGTTGGTTGTGTAAGCTGAAACTTTTGAGGAAATTGAATTTCTTATTTATGCTACTTATACACACAATTGTACATGTCAGTATAAATCCGAAACTTACATACTTATTTTTTTCAAGATTAATATCTCAAATATTACATTCGGCTTCCTTAAGTAGCTTCTTTCAGTTAAATTCAACAATGATTAATAACGATAACCCCTTGATGTATAATATTTTACTTTCGTATGATGATTCATTTTTACTTACACGTACTCTGGACAATTTTTTCCATATTTTTGTTCGAATATTTATCATTAAACTTTACTTCGCTCCAAATTATCGTAAGGTACAAGAATAGAGCATGCTTCACTCTTGTAAGTGCAAAAGGTCACCGATTGCTTGTACTTGAAGGGAAAACGTGGAAATTGACGGCCGATGAATGTGAAAGAGATTTCACAATGAAAGGTGAATCCCAAAGCGAGAAATTCCCGAGCTTTAAGCAAATAACGTGGTTGCATGTCCGAAGCGTAATTCGCTGGTTGAACGCAAGGAGAGATCCATGTCCTGGTGGTGCGTATGTAGGTCAGCCTGACGATATTGATGACGAGCCATTAAGTGACCATCTGCTTCGGAAGATGTTGAATAAAACCGGATTTTGTCGTGGTTTCTATGCCAATAAATTTGCAGTTTCCCGGTGATCTATCTGTTCTTGAAAACAAAGAAATTCATCGTTAACCTTTCATTGGATCAGTTCTTATTTGGATCTCATAATAATCAATCAATGTAGTGATTTTGAGAAATTAAAAACTGAAACTTACGTTAAACTTATATTTATAGTCTTCTTTGTGATTAGAGATTCCAAGCTTTTCAATATACACTGGTATTTTCTCCCTTACGAATTTTCTTCCAAATAAATCAGATCACAAAATCGGGAAACAAAAGTGTCCATCGATTAGTATACATATTTATATTTTATCTCTTATATATTTCGTATTTCTGTATCATTGTATTTTGTTATTACATATACCACTGTGTTATCACCATGTTGTCTACTCCATTACAGAAATTATTAGTTCCCATTTCTCTCGCCAGATGAAGGGAGCTGTCAGGAATGCTAATTTTTTTCCCGACAGCAGAAAAGTATTTAACCATAGAGGGCCAATGTAATGCGAACCTAACCTGAAACGTACGACAAAAAGCGAGAATAAATATAATGATTTAAGAATTTTTTAACTTTTATTTTTCAAACAAGATGCATTATCATGTCATTTTCTATTGAATAATTCTATGCGTAAATCACGCATTTCGCACGATACTTTATTGACCATAAATTTCGTGAATGGAAGTCGCAAAACGGATTTTTTCGAACGTAAATCAGAAAGAATTACATATAGCTAGTGACACGCGCAGGCTCGATCTATGAAAAGAAAATCCGTAGAACACACGTTAACGACACAACATAATACTTTCTGCTTAATCGTCGACGTGCGTGTGCATAACGCACGCGCAGCGTGTGTTACGTATTTGTGGTATGCGAGCAATCATTCTATTCCAACCGGACCGAGTTCTGCGTCGGGTCTTGAATTATTACGTTAACGCGAGTGTAGTTGGATCCTAAATGCCGGTAATAACTGGTGACACGTGCATGAATCGGAACGTTTCTGAGTTGAAATTCTTGCTTCATTGTAATTAGATTTTAGAATAATAGAGGGCCCTGCACCGCGGTTAACTGTTGATAAATTTGAAAAGCGCGCTGTTAGAATTGAAACTAGATAAAACGGGACATATGATATAGTGTAAACGAACTGTTGGTGTGGATTAAAAGAGGTTAGACTAGGAAAAGAGAAAAATGAAACATTATGGTAATTTTTTTTTGCACCAAGATTTGTTTTTCATTAAAACAGTGTTGAATATTTTGTCCAAGATATTGTAACCTATCATTTATTTTCTTATATTTGTTTTTGATGCGCTTCTTATGCATTTTTTTCAATAGTCATTTATTCAATAGTCATTTATTTTCTGAATTATCCTAAGTATTGAACCTTCCTTTCCGTTTTTATTTTTTCTTTTTTTTTCTGTTTCTGTAATTAGTTCGAAGAACTAAAAGAAAATTATGAAGAGGTACTTCGTTAAATATTATCAAAAGCAATTAAAACCTTTATAAATCCCTGTTGATACTTTACTAGCACTTAACACCATGTTCGATTTAAAATGCCATTAACTTAATTACTGTACGATCGTCAATATTAATGTCGCATTTATGAGTCGTAAGCTTGACTGCAATTTAGATAGGGATAATTAAAATCAACTGTTATATTCGTTTGAGGTAATTGCGGAATCGTTTACTCGAATAACTGTACTCGGCATACCGTGAAACTTCTAATATTCTATGTGAAGGCTGCTTCGATTGTTTATTCGTCATTGCTTCGAAAAAAATTCGAACCTTGAGTCGAATAACTTTATCATTGGATAAATTACCCTGCAATTCAATAACTGAATTCTGAATGATCAATTTTTACGAATTAGAAGTAAAAAATTTTAAATAGAAGAAATTACTTACGAAATATTTTACTAGCATATTCAGATATTTCTTTAGACATCCACGCGAAGTATGACATATGAGAATTTATGGGATATAACATTTCTCTACAAATTCCTTCTCGATTCATCCAAAACCCCTGTAAACAGCTAGGGAAAATGTTATGTGTGAGCAGTTTCTGCCAAGGCAGTAAAATCGAAGTACTGAATTTCCGAAATTTAACTATCTAACTCGGCGCCAAACAGTAGAATTTATGTAATTGGTACTTCTCCCTATTATTGCCGCGAGTTTCGATCGCGCGAAATCCGTATTCGTTTTCAACGCGAGCCTGTTATTTTTATGATCGAAGTTAATGAGCAATAAATAACCTCGTTGCGCTTCCGTCGCGAACAAGAGTTAGTTTTAACACAAAAACAAGCTACGTCGCAGTCGAATTTCATGCTACGAAACCTGTTGATCTGGGAATCCATCCAAAATGTCGAAGGACATGAGACTGTGGTACGAATTTATCATTTTCTTTTTTATTCCTTGGTCTCAATTTGCAAAGAACCAACGTAACGGAGATTTTCTGCTGTGTTCTCTCTATATTTTGATTAACTTCTGGTAGCAACAATCATCATCGAAACCGTGAATACAAGTCTGTTTATCATCAAAAACAACACTTTTCATGTAAAATTTGTTAACTTCTTCGACTTATAAACTACTCTCATAATCAACGAAAGATACGCACACCATTATTCTCTTTTAAACTAGTATTCGAATATGTTTGTATCAGACAATTTACTCAAGGAATTAATGTCGTACTCGTAACTCGGTCCACTCGTAAACACAGCAATAAATTCACACGAGTTTTTCCACCAACAATAACGATATACGATCGGCAGCCTTAGAAACGAACGGTAATTAACGATTTCCACGATTTGCTGGTTCTACCCCGGTAAATTTCGCATAGTTTCCATGTAGCCGGAGCGCCATTAAGGCGTCTGGAAGGAAACGTTAGCGGTCGAGTAATTAATTTCGTATTAGTCATCGGAGTCAGTGAACTTGGTATCTCGCCGGCCGACAACGACTGCTTTTTCATTTCGAACAAACGGCTGCCTCTGCTCTGACCATTTTCTTCCGCGTCTCTTAACAAATTGCCGATCGAAGAACTACTTCCACTATCCGATTTCCTCTTGAATAGTTTTTCCAGATGGATCCTAAAAAAAAAGGACAAATTTCGTTAGAACCTTATATATCCTGAGAATTAGTAACGCGAAGTTTTCCATTAAAGTCTATTATGTTTATTCGAAATACTGTCTACGTTAACTAAGATGAAGACGATAGAGACATAACTATTACTCGTATAATAGGTTAAAGAACATGCTGCTCTTTTGTAACTATAATCTTACTATAAGGTAATCCTCAGCAGGTGTTTCATTTTAGAGTCCTCCGGTGGCCACTAATTTTTTTCTTCGATCTGAAACCAATGTCAGTTTTAATTCTCATACCCTTCTTTTTATTGTTTTATTTATAATCGTATTACTTACTGGCAACGATTTGCGTAATGAGTGGTATCAATTTCTTTTCTTAAGACATACGCAACATCATCCTTATTTTTTTGTATCAAATGGATGCACAGCGTAGGTTGCGCTTGGTATGTCACCAAATACAAATGGATCAAAAGATGCGCTGAAGTATTAAAAATACCACCTAATTTGAACACAAACCTGTGAGAAAGACTGATAATAATCCATGTACTAGATATGCAATTGAATGTTTCTCATCGATATTTAATATGTTAATTTAGAATTCTAATGTGGAAAAATATTCTCTTTTATGTACCTTATTCTATACTACTGTGGCAATTCCGTAGAAAAATGAAAGTCAATTTACATAAAGCTGAATCCGCTAGTGGAATTCGATTAGTCAAGAATTCTCTCTCCTTTTTTAACTTTTTAATTAAAGCCGATAAAAATCAATCAACGTGAACACGCATCGTGCGTGAATGATTTCTTCGTAGACAAAGAAAGAACCAATGGACGGAGGCCACGATCGGTGTTCACCAGCTTTTGCCGTTTGCCGACTGTGTAATTTCAAATAAACCACCACGTCTTTTGTAACTTTCACTACGTACGCCCATGGCTCAGTACGTTCTTATCAGATTGACTTTCCGTTCCACGAATCGCTGGATCGATAAGAAAAATGCGGATGAAAATAGTCGTAAACAACCAATCATTAGTTAGGTATTTTATTTCTGAGCTTTTTCTACTGGTATCTTGATATATTATAATTTTTCATATCAAAATTTAGAGGTAAACTATAGACTTTTATATTTGTATTAAAACCCTTTGATTAATTATATTTAATTAATGTACTTACGTGTAAAAAGAAAGAAGAAATAGCGCTTAAAGAATGGCTTGTAGATTGTCCAATAGTGATTAGTATAACGCTGAGAAAAATGATTTCTAACAAGATGTTAAGAGTATGAGAAATCTATGTAATAGTGCATTTAACATATTAATATTTTTTCAATATGTATCCTGTACAGTATTTTAGAGCTTTTTTCTCATTTTTTAATATCTCACTGGGTGATTTCTTTTTATCCAGCAATATACATAACTCTTAGTTAATATTTTCATGTAATATAGTTTACATTTTATTAATCCGACTCTCTTCTTTTTGTTTCAGGTAAGTTTTTGACCATTCAATCGAAGACAGCAAGTATTTAATTATTCGACCAATTACATTAGGTACGCTTGTATCTTTACTTACATCTTCCGCCATGTTTCGATTTCAAAACTATTAAACGTTCATCGTGTTAATATCGTTGAAGTAATTTTTCAATCTTAAAAGCGTTACTGGAAGTCACCTCATGCGTTATAAAAGTTGCAGAAATTTCTGAACGATAATGTTGTTCTTGTGTAATAAAGTATTCAAATAACGCCAGCCAATCGGTCACGATACGTGACTTCATTAGTGAATGTTGAAGAGAAAATATTTTCAACGAAGACTCTTATTAAAAGCACGTTTTCTCTATGCAAGCGAACTGCTACATAGCGAGCATACTTTTCCCTTGATGCGCAAAACGTGAACGTAAATCTCTCTATGTTGAATCTGCCATAAGAAAATCATTTACTTACGTGCTTTTATCGTGACAAAAGTTTTCAATTTCTGACATCAGTAAAACAGTTCCATCGAATTTTAATCGAGTTTTCGGTACACGTTAGATCTTTACAACCTTCTCATAAATTATCCTCATGCATTTTGTACTTGAAACACAGACAGGGAGAGAGTACGGTCAATCGGAAGGCAAACGTGTTGGTATTGTGCACTCGCTTGCCTCGAGGTCGACCTTGTTGGTACAACGATCTGAAAGTAATTAATTGTGTTTTTCGGCGTGAAATCCTACTTTGTATTCAGCGGCTTACTCGGTACAGTTGAAATTGTCCCCGATTAGCGAGCCTACGAGCGTTTCCGAAAACATATGGCCGCCAGGATATGCACGTTTCCACGATCTGTGCGCCTTAAATTTAATATTAATTAGGATTTACATATTTTGATGTTTACAACTACGCAATAATAGATAATCGATTGATACAAGATGCTACTGGAATGCGAAATAATATAAAATATGAAATCGTATGTGTGCGAGTGACGGTTATGTCTCTCCGTGAAATACGAAAGGAACAGCAGAGCATGTCATAGCGTGTTGCGTGAGTGCGTAGTGTACGTATCTTCTCAAGGTGAAGAAACGGAATGTCCGGTATGCGCCGGCAAAGAGGAACTCTTTCGTAGAGGGATGAGCAAGCCTGACGACTGGTTCTCTCTTACCTGCTCCCCTCTCCCACTTTTCTTTCCCCGTCCTCTCTCGGCCATTAAGGCCGTATGCGCATGCGCCTGCGCATCCACGCGCATCCATCGATGCTTAGTGATGGGACCGATTTGATTCGTTCTTCCTGAGAATTACGACTAATGAAAGTTTGCTGAATTATTCTCTTGCTATATGCTATTTCCAATTTTTTCTGGATTATATTTATCCTAATAACTAGTACATCGAATACAAGTAAGTAAATCTATCATCGATGATTCATATTTTTTATTAACGATTGATTTAATACTAATTTTAATAATAGAAATTTTTTTTATGTGAAATTTAAATATTATTATTTTCGGAATAATGGTAAACGCATATTCCAAGTAAATAGACGCGAACAATTGGAACTCTCATCACATTGTTGGCAATGTCCACGAGGACATTGGTCCCATCGCTAGGTACATGCACGCCAGCGCCGCGTGAAACAGCCAGTGGCGTATCGGGCGAAACAACACTGGTAGATATCGAGTAGTTTTCAAAGTTTCGTTCCTTCCTACTTTAGATGGAAAAGTATGCTTAATTTTTCTAATATATTATATATAATAATGTCTTCTATACAACATTCATAATATGTTTCACGATTTCAGTGTAGAGTATTTTCCAAACATAATATAATAATATAAGTTTTGGAATTTACTTTTCTTTAAATATAAATTACCAGTTTGAAACTGTAATTTATGAACAAGTTAACGGTTCAACGCTGTTGCAACTTCATTGGACAACTAGTTAAGCGTATCGCGAAGTGCAAAGTTGATAAAGGAAAAATGAATTTCTAGTTGGAATTAACGGCATGTCTGAAATCGAGAAGTGGATACTGCGCCACTGCGTGAGAGTAGTTCGAGTACCTGTACGGTCTATATCTGTTACCATGTTCACTGACTGCATGTATCTTGGCCGTGAAGCAGTAAACGGGATTAAAGCGAGTTGCAATCCTAACGCACGGTAAACTTTATCGGCTCACTTCATCTACTCGCTACTATGATTCTCTTTTATGACAAATTTGTTGCTCCGTGTTAGTTACCGAATTCAATTAAAGTTGTACATATTCTATGTTTTGCGTTAAATCAGTCTTCAAAATGTTTAATGAAAATATTTTAAAAAATCCAATAATTTTGCGATTATTTTCAGTTGGACGTTTTAAATTTGCCGCGCTACAATTCCATTAAGGTGTCAGCAATGTGACTTCATTGAAACGTAATAATAATAATAAAAAATCCAAATTATAGGAATTAGGATTTTTATTCGAGATAACAAAAATATTAATTGTTTTTTACGAGTAATGACTATAAAAAAGTAAAACAATGGTTATTAGGTTATTTTAGTTGTACATGGATATTCCAAGAGAAAATATCTTCTCAGTATACCGTTTACAATCTACGGCAATGAATCTTCGATAGACCCCCTCTGGTCCAAACAAAAAGAAGAAACTTTATCGTATTTGTAACGCGAGTCCGTTTACTAATAGAGCGTAACATTCATGCGAGTTCGTACAACTGACGCTGTTTGCCCTGGCATGGTATGTGGGACATCCTGATTCCTCTCAGGACCTGCTTTGGGATGTATTAACATAAAAGAAAGTTCAGTCCAAGCCATATCCTGTGAGGCCGTTTGGCCTTTAATTTATCTTGCACCGTAATTTCTTAGCGAAAGTATGTCCTATTCAATACATTTTGAAAATTTGAAACAAGAACTACAAAGTAAACGGTATTCGAAAAATAATCCATCGGTGTAGTCAAAGAAATTTTTGTTCTAAATTTAGAAAATTTATTATATTAGAAATTTTTGTCATATTAGGATTAGTAGTATTTCGATTATGTTAAATAGTATACGAATACAGTTAAGAAACGAATTTCAAAAGATAGAAATATATATACCTGAGAAAAGAAGGTATTGCTTGAAACAAATTACTAGTTAGAAAATTAATTAGGCTAAATATTTGAAATGACAAGATGTTATTAGACATTATCAACATACTGCTAATGAGTAAGACACATTAATATCTCCCCAGCAGTCACTATTATCTCAGAATGTATCTCACGTTGCTATCACTCTTCTATAAAATAATCAACTTTTAAAAAATTAACTTACTGGATTGAAAGTAAACAAGAATAAATTACGAATGTAAGAGAAATCAAAATAATTTACTAGAAGTTGAGAATAATGAAATTTTATACAATACATTCAAAATATACGAAATCTTAAATCGAGATTTCAATACTCCAGTAGTACGTGATACATTTACCAAAATGCTGATTCTTTTCTGTATATAAAACCTGTTAAAAGAGAACTTAAAATCAGAAAAAGAAATTTCGAATAAGTAACATTATAATTTCTTAAGGAACGTTAAAGAAAAGTCAAGCTTTTATCAACGTCATCCGGTGAAACGTATTTTATGAGAAATTAATGTAGATATTTCTATCACGGTGAATATGATTTAAGTTGATTTATCATCGCTGGGAAGTCTAATTAGTTATCAGTTCATTGGCTTCGAAGTTACTCCATAAATCTTTGGATGTTAATTACCTCGAACAGCTCCAATAGGAAGTAGATGCTCGAATTTTTCAAGAACAGCTACTGGTACGCGGTTTTATACTCTCGTGGGCTTTCAAACGTGACGAATATATGTAACTGTTCATTGTAACACGAGATCTTGTGTTCCTCTATAAATCTGTCACTCGATTACGTCAACTTATATATCAAAACATTGCTGACACTTTAACAGAAAGAGGAAAAACATATTGTATAAATATTAAAGTTTCCAAAAATATCAAACTGAAAGAGAAATTAGAAGGTAGGATTATCGTATCATTCGCTTAAAATGTTCTATGTAAATCTGAGATCACAGATAGAGTTACGTCAAAACAAATTAATTCGCAATAAATAGTTAGTATCTATTCAGATGCTGACTATATAACATTCTGTTTTATTCAAGCATACGAGACAAGAATAATAAGATCACAGCCAAAGAAAATGTGCATAAATTAATACTAAAATAGTGAGTTAATTTTTTATAAAGAAGAGTAATTTAAAAAAAATCTAAATTCTTACTATTTTATACATACTAATTTTTTTGATATAATACATCAGTTTTTGAACACATTTATGATTTAATTAGGTACAAGATCGAAGAAGTCGATGATTTGGCAAAAAGAATTAATAAAAAAAAAATAAGATAAAAGACTTTTAGAAAATGATTACGAGAGTGTAGCTTCACGTATTCTGGACAAGTCGATAGGAAATCCCCACCATTATCATTTATCAGTGACCTCGTGCAGTCACGCCTCTTTGATAAGAAGAAAGAATTGCCAATCTCTGTATTCTTCTCCCTTTATTTCTGTTCTATGCACTGACAGTCTCGTACGCTTTCATTGACTTTAAGAAAACTTCTCCTTCCTCACAAAAGAATTTTTTACTTCTGAATATCTGTACTCATGAATGAAAGTCCTGAACTCCGATTACATTATAATGTTTTATAGTTTTTTAAATATTTAAAAACAAAAAGTCATAAATTATTAATTTAACAAGATAAGAAGAAATACAAAGGTTAAATCGATGATTCTAATTTATGCAAGAATTCAAATTGCATATTCAATTTTCTGTTTCTAGGCTATTCTAGTTCCTCCCTCTTCCCTATTTTGAAAGCAAAATTAATCCAAGCCGAAGACAGCTTTACTCGAATGTTGATGTGTAAAGTGGATGATAATCAAAAATATATCATAGGAAAACGATTAATTTTATGAAGTCAAGAGTGCTCGAAATTTGTGATAATATTCTTATAAACTTAATTATTCAGCTGAGTACTCCACGACCTCGTTAAGGTTTGCAGTAAGTGCATTTATCTTGCTACCGTTGATCATAAGAAGTTTATGAAATTACGCCAATAATAATGCTATTGAGATTCATTGAGAAAGAAAATGTAGTCACCTCATAACGCGTTGGACCTTTACTTCGTTCCTTGTTTCATAGGTAGAATCCTTAACGGGTTTTCACAACTATTTATAAAAGAGAAAATGTAATTTAGAAATCAAAACAATACTAATGCAGGGCTCAGATTTTAATTTTTCCGCTATTTTCTCTACTTTAAAATTTTGTTTTAGAATCTCTAACAGTAAAATTTACAATAAATAACAAATACTTATTACCATGACCTGTTAGCATTAAAAATAAAATTACAGTCGAAGTGCTTTACTCGATATCCTAAAATGAAAATAAAATTATATACTATATGATGTATCAAATACAAAATAGTATCTTATAATTAACTGATATCACTATTAATGTCACATTAATTTCAAAACAAAATTGTATACATACTTCTCTTAACTATTCGTATTAGCAATTAACGTCAATGGAGATCCGTAACGAAGAATGGAAAACACATGGCCAAAGGCACACAAGACTCCAAAGATGGGGGAAGCGTCGTAGTCGTGACAATAGAGGACCGGTATCGTGGTGCTTTAACGGAACGATAACGAGACGGACGATTTACCCGTAGATGCCGCCGGTTCAATTGAACGGCATGCAGACAACGTGGTCGTTGGTCACTGCGAAATAGAGAACGACGTGTGAAATGGGTATCGTGATGTACTGACCGGATGCCACTTCCTGCTTACCACGTCTGCGCATCATTGTAACATGCATCGTACCTAGCGATGGGAATAAGACGATTCGAAGTCTCTTGAGATTCGCTCTCACTTATTTCCATCTATATCTGCGGTGAGACTTTGTAATTTTCTTATTACTGATAAATCTGTAAACCTGTAGTGATCTTGAATCAGATGATTTTGAAAGAAAAGGAGTATTTAGTGGATGATAAAGATATAAAAGTAAAATTGAGAAGATAAAGAAAATTCAACATAACCTAATTGCTGGCTTCTGTCAAAAATAGTTGCCTGGTTTTAGGATTTATATGGTAATTAACGAACTTTTGATATCTATAAGCGTTGAGTTCAAGAAATCTGAAAAAATTAACGAAATGGAAACAATTTATTTCAATTTATACCTATAATAATGACCATTACCATTTCCCATTTTATCCAGTCTTCGTTTTCACTCGATATCCTATGGAAAAGAAAGAACATGGAAAACGGTAGGTAATGCAGGAAGTAACATAGTCGACGTGCGAACGTATCGATAAGCGGTTTCCAATAGTTCTGATCCATTAATGTTTCCTTCTCCTTACTAGATAGCGTTTCATGTCTCTAAAAAATATGTAAATTAACTAAGCCTTAAGAACAAAACGGCTGCGGAGAAGCATAAAACAAGATTTCTCTGTATTCTTTAATAAGGAAGAAAGAGATCGGTAAGTAGTACAAGAACCAACAAAGTTTGAGTTTGATGATAAGTGATTTACGGTCGTGATTTTCAGCTCTAGTGTGAATTGCTGACCGTGTGCTACCCTCTTTCTCTCTTACTCCCCTAGTCGGTTGACTTTCGTCTTGTTCTCCAACAAACGGTAAACCGTGTTATCACAACTATGCCAAAAATGCAAATCGACGAGTGAGGCCTTTCTAAAGAGGTAGGAATGCAACGCGCTCGAAAGTCCTGGAAAGGCCTGTCCTGTGATTGCGACAGATGCAATGGCGGCCGCTCTACTATAAGGAAAGTCCTTCGTGATCTCGATGATGGTTGATTTTTTATGTTGCATGGCAATGTGTCCAAAAAAATATTCCCACCATAAGGAACCTTCGAGAAAATAATCTACTCAGCTAGATGATACTACATGTAGCATCTCGCGCTAATTAAATAAGTACTTAATATAATTATATTTATTAATTAATATAAGAACTATACTTAAATAAAATATGTATGGAAAGGTAATTAATTGACTCAAAAGATAAATTTGCAATGTTTTGTAACATTAATTACTAGTGAGGAACAAGTACCTTCATAAGAAGTAAAGTTTTGCATATTCATAAAATTATTGTTATACTAAAATATTTATAATGTGAAATAGTTGCTTGATATTTTATTTACTTGTTCATGATTATGATGCTACAAACTAATATTTTGATGAAGGATTCTTATGAAGTTTTTGTTAACTGCGGTTTAAAACTTGTTATAAGTAAAATGTTATTATCTTATCGTTACATAAGTACTCGTAATGTTGTTTTGAATTTACGTCAATAAGACATGAACTAGTGTCGAATGAGAGAAATGTGTTTACGATTGTTTGTAATGAAGCTTCTGTACTATTAATATTTGACAGTACCACTACCCAGAGGTCAAACACGATAGATAAAAATTGTGCTTCTAATCATATTCGCATGTATGTAGGTCCGAACGTCTTATATTTCGTTTCTACGTGAATATACATATCTTGAAAGATAAATTGAAAAAAAAAAAGATTGATTCGATAAACGTCAAATCTCTCAACCGATGTTATTTGAAGTATTTAGCAAAATTACGATTAAAGGATGACATCATTTTCATGACATTTTCGAATTGAAATAACTATTCTTAACAGTAGTTACCAGAAATAATATTCTTTGTTTTATATAAATTTCTATTGCGCTGTAATAAATCAGTTATATATTCTAATCAATTTGTAATATTATATAGAAAATATATAATTAAATTAAAAAGACAAATATGGTCCTAGGTTATAAAAGTATAATTTTTTACGGGAAAAATTGAGATTGATCACAGAAAGAAATTAACGACCTAAGACATTCAATAAAAGTATAAAGATGTTTCATAAAGAACGTTGTTACTTAACGCAAAACTTAAATATTTCAGGAAATATTCTTTAAAAATCAAGATATTTTCATATGATAATGCTGATAAAACTGTAAAAGGTAGTAATATTTATTCTAATGAAAATATAAAGATTTTAGACGTTTAAAAAATATCGAATAATATTATTTTGTGAAGTGGGAAAATAATTTGATATATATTAGACTAGTGATGGGAGACCTTCAGATTCACTGATTTTAACTGAACACATCTCGAGGTCAACCTTCGCATCTCCCTCTACCTTGCTTTATGTATAATACGTTCCGAACCCGTACGTTGCAATTAAGGCCTATTTGTGAACAAATTTATCTGGCAACAGACCAACCGATTGTGCTTACTAGTGGTACGCGGACTTACAAGAGTCGTTGTAATGTGTTTACTAAAGACATTAACTGACACGAATTTACTGTGCAAATGACTCTAATTAGGATGGCGTAGCATAGCGACTGAGTGTTGCCCGTTTGGATGCGCGCGCACGTGCGTGTATGTATATATGCCCGTGCGCACGTGCGTAGATATGTACCACGCAGAATCATTTGCGAGCGTAATGCAATGATCTTTACTCTGAAATGGTCGAAGAAAATTAACATAGATGTGATTATGATGAAAAAAGTTACGACTCTCCCGTTTTAATGGCAAATATTAATTATTATCGTTACCATACAATATTTCAAATGAGATGCATAAGCCTCACGTTTTCTTTCTTCTTTTCTTTCTGTAACGAACAGTTGCCTATTCTCATTCTGCTGCCTAGCAGAGGTACTCAAGGCGATATTAATCATACTGAACAGTTTATCTCTTGGGTGACTCGCGTAGTTCTACTACTGATGATCACGATCTTGCTGCGTTTTGTCACGTTGGGAAATGTGACACTTCGCGTGACTGTACCTTCAATTACGATTGTACGTTCTGTATTCCTGTATCGTGGGGCTAAATTTAGAGACCAACTGTGCCTAAAAAGATTCGTGTGCGGTATCGTGAATGTAATTGAATTCGATGTAACCAGATACATTTTCGTTTCATAAGTAATAAAAAGAAAATATCATTGTTAATAATTTGAGAAAAATCGGTGTTATTGAAACTTTTTCTCGTTTATGTCGCATACATATCTGCCTTGTCTTTTGAATTATTAAATGCGTAAAAACATAATTTGGCTTGAAAATGGGAACCCAAATATCTGTGACATTAATGCTTGCTTAAAAAATATAACATGATCGTAAATTAATTCTGTTAGTTGTCTAAAATAATAAATTATGCATTTTTAAAATCTTTTAAATTATACTACAAAAATTGTTTATATAGACATTGCAATAATAAAGCGAAATTAAAATTAAAGTAACTAAATTGAATTAATAAAATAAAAATGAGGTTTAATGTTCCTGCTTCTTTTTTACACCTGTGAAATATATTATTTCGATAACTGTAATATATATAAGTATTTTCTTAATTTTCATGAATTTATAATCAGATTATATTCTTTTTAGCAACTATACTTATTGAAATTTAATTTATGTCACAATAATCGACGCATCAAATCGTAGTATTAAAAAAATCTCGATAGTCTGTAATACGAAATCATTTTTCATTAATTATGAGTGCTTAGATGGGAGAATCAAATATTCTACAAATCAAACAAGTTAGTCCCACTCCTATACTTCGCGGAACATTGATAAATCAATAAACAGAATTCTCCAGTGAAGACGATCAAATCAACCTGTTTGTTACGTTTCAGGGTACGAATGGTCCGAGACCGGCGTACGTGGGTGCTAACAATGGTAACGCTGGTGGCGCCGGGGGCGGTGGCGGTGGTGGCGGTGGAGGCGGTGGCGGCGGCGCTACGGGCGGTGGCGTCGGTGTGGGTCCAGCGAGCGGCGGCGGCGGCGGCGGTGGAGGTGGAAGTGGTGGTGGCGGTGGCGGTGGAGGCGGGCACGGAATGAAGGGGAACACCGGCGGCGGTCCACGAGGCGGGAATCCGGTGCAGTATCGTGCGAGCGGTGCCGCGGCTTGGGGTACAGCGCCGCCCTCTCATGCGGCTGCGGCTGCGGCTGCGGCGGCTGCCTATCCGCCGTACACGCGGTATCCAAGCGCAGCGGCTGCAGCTGCGGCCGGCCAGATGCCCGTTGGAGCACAGCAACTACCGCCTACGAATCCTTACGCCACCGCCACCTACACACCGCACGCGTCGGTAAGTCCTCCTCTCCTTTCGTTCCTGACCAACTTGTGCTTTATACGATTGAAAACTTATGCCATTTTTCTACGGCAGTCGTTTTCGTTTTCAACATGGAACGATACTTTCACGGGTCGGTTTATAGACACACGAAGAAATAGATTTTAATTCATCGTACGTTAAATTGATTATTGTTTATCCGAGTGCAAGTGTGATTGGAACAGTAAATTTAGTTTTTTGTGAAAAATATTTGGAAATATTTTTTGTAATTTAATACCAAAATTTTTATCTTAAGTAATAGTCGGATTTTTGAATCGTTCGTTGGTAAATTTGATTATTTTATGAAGAAACAGAAGGGGTGGCACATTTTGTCGGCTTACGTGCGACATGGTGGTTAGAGAATGGTTGGGTAGTGCAAATGTCTTACACGTTTCGTGTGGTCAACAAGGTAACCTATAAAGTGTTCTGGGAACGTAACAGTGTTTCGTTCTATGTTGTAATTCTGATCATGTTTCTTTTCTCGTATATAAAAGATTCAGTTTAGATATTTATAATTCTGTTAGAAAAATATGAACGCGGACAATAGCAAAGTTAGAATTTGCACAGTGAGAGGGTTAACCCTTTCGTAAACCGGGTGGGGCCATGACAACGCAGCAGACACTTCACGTAGAAACGATGTGCGAATTTTTCTGTCGTTCGTTCTCTCGATCTTTTATTAAATATATTTTTCTTGTTTGCTTCGCAGTGTAGCATTTCAATTGATTTTTCAAACTACATATACATTTATATACTATGACGTATAAATGATTTTTTTTTCCTTTTACCGTATTATTGGTGTTATATTTTACCGGCATAATTATAAAGTACAAGTTTAAACTATAAAAAAAGACATTATTCCGGCAGTACATAGATAGATGGTGTGATAAAATTAAAAAAATTTCACATGTATCATGATAGTCTTATATCTCTTCTTATGCCGGGTGGGGCTAGAATATTTAAAATTTTTTTATTACGCTCAATATTCTTTTTTTTACTAAATGATACGTTCTATTTTTTTCTAAAAGAATAATTTGTTCTTTGAATTATATTGTCTTATATATTAATTTTTATATATTTACTTTTATTTTTACTTATATTACGATTTATTACTTATCTTTTTAAATCAGTGTGAAACTCTACGTTTTGTTCATTGAGAAATTATAATTATTAATATAATTAAAAATTTTAAATTATTTAAAATATATTGTAAGGTCTTTCATAAGATAGTAAAAAGTAATAATAAAAAATAATAATAGTAAAAAGTATACTCTTTTGTTTATATATTTATTAATACATATTTTTAAATATATTACAGTATGGTGGACAACGGGTGCCTACAGCCTCATCTCCAGCTAACACTAATAGTAGTTCTAGCAGTGCTACCGGCAGTCGAAGCGGGACAATGAGCACAAGTCTTAGCAATAATGCTATACAAGGACAACAAGCAGAACAACTATCAAAAACAAATTTATATATTCGTGGCCTCAACCAAAATACAACTGACAAGGACCTCGTTAACATGTGTTCTCAGTAAGTCACTCGTATAATTACAAATATTTGAATCAATTATTATTGTAACATCAATTTTTAATAAAATTCACTAAGCACTGAAATTTTGTTTATAGTGGGAGAGTGTATTGTTCCTAATACATTGTGTTTTTGCAGATATGGAACTATTACTTCTACGAAGGCAATTTTGGATAAAAATACAAATAAATGTAAAGGTAATT